GTGTGTGTGTGTAATTTTTTTTTGTTTTTCCTCTAGGGATACATTCAGATGAAACAATCAGGGATTCAGGAAGGACAGCCACTTGACCTCATGATCCTGATGCCCCTCCCCTTTTGGGATCCTCTCTGGAACCAAACAACACACAAAGGAGTGTGGGGATGCGCCTGAGGATACAGGATCTTCCTCATTCTTGGCTGAGGTCTAGATTTACAAGGTTGCCAGATAGCAGAGTTTCAGAAAGATGATGAATTATTATAACCTCTTTTGTCTCAAAAATGAACAGCATCGTTTTGAGATGGCATAACTTATTAGTCAAATAAAAATGAAGAAAAGTCCCCCAGAGTTGTAGTTAACATTTGTTGAGAGCTCATTCTGTACCATGCACTATTCTAAGCAATTTATGTGTTTACAGATTTCAGTCCTCATAACAACCCCATGAAAGAGGAAGCATTCTACAGGTGGGAAAACTGATGCTTAGGATGGGTTTTGTTTTCTCTTTGTCTGTTTAAGTAATTTGCCCAAGGTCACAGAAGCAAGACTAGAACATAAGCAAGCTAACTCTAGACATAGAGTTCTTAACCATTTTACTAGGACACATCAGATATGCCACTTTAAACCCTAAAGTACTTATTAACATGTATTTAAAGGAAACCATGATGGATGTCTTACTGCAACCTTAGAAGCAGTGGCTTTCTCTAGCAGGCTCTTGTGGACCAGAATCAAAGGTACCTAAACCCCAAGTCATTCAAAGATCAGAGGCCTCCTTCATGGGCTCACTATGTAAGCTAGTGGTATCTGCAGTTTCTGCTAAACACCAAGGGCACAGATCTTATACGGCTTGCCCTGGCCTTACCTACTTCTGTACCTGATAAACTGTTTACATGAATGAGTATACTATACAAACTAATTCACATTACAGCCAAGTCAGCAATGCTTAATCATTTGTATATGAAGGACCTTGGTCTTCACTTCAGTTTGTCCTACGGACTTTATTAGAACCCATAACAGTTCCTAGACCACCTAATATGTGTAAGACCCCCAAACTTCCTCCAGTTGTACATTTCTATATCCTATCCTAGCTGCTCAAAGACATGAAAGAAATTGTCTTCCTAGAGGAAGAACTCAACAATTATGTAAATAAGAAATGAAGAGAATTAAACTTTTCATGCTTCTGGACATACATTAATATTGAAAGAACCCAATTAATTCTTATGCCACTCAGAACATGATGGGATTCAACCTCAACAATGTTCTACCTGTACAGAGGTATTTCAACAGATGATTATTTCAAATTTACATTGGCATTCACATATTCATAAAAAAAAAAAAAAAAGAATAGAAAAGATTTTCTTAGTCAAGAATTTGCAGCTGTAAAACTTTCCTAGCTATGACAGTTTACCTGAGTCCTCCAACTAAATTATTTAGGAAGACAGAAGAGAGTTTCCTTTAGTGGCTTTTGGGGATTTTAAAACAAACCATCCCAGTGATTCATGAGCCTGAACTCAAAAGAATTCTCTACCAATCTGTTCTTTGTAGTGCTGCCCTTATCAAAAACATAGTTTCAATAAATTATATTAGTGGCAATAAAGAATTCATTCATAAAGCAAATATTTATTAAGCACCTATAATGTGGCAAGAAATGTGATCCTAAGAATATAGCGATAAATAGGCCAAAAAAAAATAGTTCTTGCCTTCAGAGTTTACACACTAGTTTTAGAAGGATACTGGCTTCTGCTTCTATTTTCCCATAAGCCAATTATCACTGTTCATTAAATGCTAACAATGTAACATCCTCCAGATAAGTGCAATAAAATGTAAATCTTTCACTGGACAGCTCAAAGTGCTTCTCTTACTGTTCCTGGTTGAACTAAAGTAGCACTAAGATTCACAGAAGGACTAACAAAAAAAATTAAATGCTCCCTACACATGAGAAAACAAGGATTTTACACAGGTAACAGATCTAATTTTAAACTGCTCTATTAGGAAAACACTTTAAAGATCTACTGACAGTCACGCCATGGAAAGTAAGATTACACTCTAGCATTGCTCATTATTTCGTGCATTTGGCTAATCTGCCAATTAAATCATGCCCCCTACCCAGGCAAAGTATAAAGATAAGAAAAATTTATACTAGATACAGAAAGTATGTGATGGTGAAGTATGTCATATGCCTGTTTGGTCACAGTAGAGCTGTCTAAAAGGGATTTTTCTCACTGTTGACTCAACACTGAAACTACTATTGAGATCTGTTCTTTAATAAACTGTGGTTTGTCCATAATACAGAATATCTATATACTACATAACACACAGAGAGGTAGATCTATACATTAATATCGCAAGAGCTCCAGTACATACTGTTAGAAGAAAAAGAAAAAAGTATACCGATACATATAGTACAATACTATTTATGGATTATTTTAGCCTCACAAAACAATACTTCATTTCTGAATGCAAAAAAAAAAAGTCTGGAAAGACACAAAAATATAAAAGTGATTACATTTTTGAGGAGAGATCAAGGGCCATGATAGAGAACTTAGCACTGTGTATAATCTTAACATTTTCTTTGGGAAATTATATTCATGAATTAACTATGTCATTAAAAGTTAACTAAAGAGAGTTAAAATAGAGAACAATCATTATCTCACTATAATTTAATATGAATATATAATAAAATTGAATAATTATATTAAAAGTAAGTCAAGTTCCTTATAATATTCATATCTTTCAAAAGCTTATTCATTCTCTTTTAATCTAAAATGCATGGAGAGGGCACCTGGGTGGCTCAGTTGGTTAAGCGACTGCCTTCGGCTCAGGTCATGATCCTCGAGTCCCGGGATCAAGTCCCGCATCGGGCTCCCTGCTCAGCAGGGAGTCTGCTTCTCCCTCTGACCCTCCTCCCTCTCATGCTCTCCGTTTCTCATTCTCTCTGTCTCAAATAAATAAATAAAATCTTAAAAAAATAATAATAATAAAAATAGAAATAAATAAATAAATAAAATGCATGGAGACTTAAAAATATGGATTTGAGCTAAAACCCATGATTTTGATCATCTGGACTGTAATACTATAAATCATGGAAAAACCCAAAACTGAAGCTAAGCAAAAAAAACCCACAAAACAAAAAACAAAAACAAAAACCCCCAACCCTTTAAACATATAAAAGACTAAGGAAGTCTTGCTATGTAGAAAATACAGAACACATTAAATCAAACATCCTCACCAAATTCCTTTAAACACCCTCTGCCACTGTGTCCACAAAAAATATAAGGTATCATTAAAGACAAGAGTCAGCATATCTTTACCCCAAGCACAGCAGGTATGGCCTAAGAATGAGATAGATTAAGTCATCAAAGAGACTTCAATGAAGGAAGGCAAGGAAATGAAGAACAAACCAAAACAAAAAGTATACTTAAGAAAGAAAGAAGTGTGGAAGAGAAAGAGCATCATTAGTGCCCACTGACAGAGGAGTCATAATTGCTCCAGCACAAAGGAAACTGGCCATCTAGATTTGTAAAACAATTTACCAAGCATTTCCACATACATCAGCGAATAGAATCTTTGTAACAACATAGTGTTTATCCCATTTAATGGAAAGAAAGTGAAGCTCTGAGAGGGTCAGGGAACTGCCAAAAGCTACACAGCTAATAAATGACAGAATTGGGGTCTTTGAACTCCAAGCCCCATGTTCTTTCTAATACCCTACTGCTTCTACAGACTGTCCCTCAAATTGCTTCTCATTTTCCCATAACCATGAATATTTCAAGAAATAACTGTATCATCAATACATTTATTGATGTCTACATGGTAAGCTATTCTTCTTTTTCAGATAACTGAAAAAAAAAATATGATTTGTCCATTCAAAATCAACAGAATATAGTAGAGGAGGGCAGTGGGGGTAGGGGGTGGCAACAAAAGGCAACATGAGGGAGTTTTGTGGTGATGGACCTGTTCAATATCTTGAATGTGGTGGTGGGTACATGAACCTACACATATGCTAAAATTGTATAGAACTTAAAATACACATACCCACAAACTAGCACAAGTAAAATTATGAAATTCTGAATAAAATCCATGGATTTTATCAATGCAAATATCTTGGTTGTGATATACTGTAGGTTTGCAAAATGTTAGAACTGGAGGAAAATGGGTAAAGGATACATGACATCTATCTGTATTTTTTGTTATAACTGCAAGTGAATATATAACTATCTCAATAAAAAATTCAATTAAAAAATGAACAGAATACTCATACCACCCACACTGATTTTGGAACAGATTAATGATATTATATAGAAGCATAAGAAGACGTGTAGTCATTCAAAGCTGACTCCATTATAGTGGAACTGTCAGAGGTTTTACCCACGAAATTTTAAATTTTAAAAACTATTATTTCAAGCCAGAGATGATAATTTTGAACAGCTTTTGGTGACATAATACTGTAAGAATGAGAGTCATATCACCCTAGCCATGCAAAGGGTAAATCATTGATGGAAAGAAGAATCAGGAAGAGGAAGAAACAAGTCTTTTGGAACTAGAACAAAAAGCTGTTTAAGAATTCTTTCACAAAACATCAAATGACATAATAATGGAAGTGTAAGCCAGTTGCTCAGCAGGACAATTGGGGAATCATGGTGATAATTATGAGATGCACCAAGAATTATTTAATAATAACACTAAGCATAATAGCTACTATCTGTCAAGCACACACTATGTGCCTGGCATTGTGCTGGCTGGCTTCTTCACAAAATGATCAAAAATCTTCACAATAACTCTGAGTAAAATGTGGAGACTGATGGATCTTATGTAAGTTGCTCAAGATCAATAATTAGAAAGTTGCAAAGCTGGACGTTTGAACTCAGGTTTTCCTGACTCATGCTATTCACTGCTCCACGGTACACAGGAAAGAAATTACCTTATCTTGGTATTCTAATACATGACTCTAGGGCGAGGGATAAAAATTATATCCAGTAGTGGAAAACTATCATTGATATCATATTTACCTGCTTGTAAGTTCCATCTAGCAAGGTGTCCAGGTGTTGGAGGGGGGCAGGTGTTTTATCTTTGAATCTTGTCAATAGTCGGCGTTGAATGGCCCGAAATTGTACGGCTCTTTCAGATAAGAGTTCTTCTAATTTTTCACCATTTATCCGCAACTACAATAAAGAGTTTCTTAAATTCAGGTTAAATGTGCACAAAAAAACATTTAAAGTAAGAATACAGGCAATGACAATTAAAGCCTGAAAGAGAGTAATGAAGAAATTTAAATGTATTATAAAGTTAAGAGAATTAAAACTGTTACATTTGGTACATGAATAATAGATACATAGATAATAGAGTAGGATAGGTCAAATGGAAATTCAGTAAAGATGACCTAGTATCACTGGGGAAAAGACAGATTATTTAATAAATGTCCTGTAATAACTGATTACAGAGACAAAAGAATAAGAATTTCTCCCCCAGTCTTTACAGCAAAATCACTTGGAGGAATAAAAAGTTTAGACACAATAAAAGTACTAGAAAAATTAGAATTTTTAAATAATCTTGGCAAGAGAGAGACCCTTATAACTCAAAAGCCAAAAACCAGACACATACACACTCACACCTCTGATAAATTTGTAACTAAGGAAAAAAAAAAAAGGAATTCTATACAGCTAAAAAAAAGAAAAATATCATAAGTGACAAGACAGCAAACTGCAAAAAATAATAGCAATAACCAGAGACAAAAAGTCAAGCCCATAATATCTAGAAAGCATTTAAGAATCAAAGAGAAAAGGACCAAAATCCAATACAAATCAGTAAGAAAAGAGAATCAATAGAAAAAAGGGCAAAATTTATAGAAAAGCTAATACAAATAGCTCTCAAATATAGCCTTTGATCTAGCAAGCCCATTTCTAGGAATTTATCCTAGAGGTATACTTGCAAAAAGTAATGTACATACAAGGATATTCATTATAGAATTATTTGTTCTGTTGTATTATAGTAGGATATTATTAATAATTAAAATACCCATCAATAGGGGGACGGGTTAAATAATAAAAAAAGACTACTTTGCAGAACTACTAAGTACTAATATGCAATGTTATCCAAAGATGCACGGAATGAAACAAAGCAAAAAGCAAAAACAAAAACAAAATACAGAAGAGTAGCATGTATAATATGCTACCATTGATGTATTTTTTATTATTTTTTAATTTTTTTTAAAGATTTATTTATTTATTTGACAGAGAGAGAGTGAGAGCAGGAACACAAGCAGGGGGAGTGGGAGAGGGAGAAGCAAGCTCCCCGCTGAGCAAGGAGCCCGATGCGGGGCTCGATCCCAGGACCCTGGGATCATGACCTGAGCCGAAGGCAGACGCTTAACGACTGAGCCACCCAGGCGCCCCCCATTCATGTATTTTTTAAAAAGAAATCTGTACATTAACATAGTTGTGACTGCATATTCTAAAAATATACACAAGAAACAGGACACCAGAAGTTGCTTCCAAAGAGGAGACTGAGTGGCTGGAAGATGAGAATCAAAAATAGACTCTTTTTACTACAACTCTTCTCATAACCTTCGAATTTAGTACTATTAAAAGAAGCTAGTGAGAGTCATAGAGTAGAAGGAACCCTCCATGAAATCAGATTATGTGAACTGCTAATTCAACTTTACAAAACAGTCATCAACTAGTCCTGAAATAAATAGCATTTTCTTCAGAAATCAGGGGCACCTGGGTGGCTCAGTAGGTTAAGCATCCGACTCTTGATTGCAGCTCAGGTCATGATCTCAGGGTCCTGAGATTCTGCCTGCTTAAGATTCTTTCTTCCTCTCCCTCTGCCCCTACCCTCCTGCTCAACCTTGCTCTCTCTTTGCCCCTCTCAAAAAAAAAAAAAAAAAAAAAAGTTCAGAAATCAAACATATTACAGTTTACATTTCTTATATCAAACCAAACTTCCTTTTCAGTGTATGCATTCTCCAGACACATGATTTAAAAAAAAACTTGTGATTTTATTACTGTCTTTTAATTCCATTTTCAGAAGCACTAAGTAACTAAATCAAAGAATATTCTCTTGAAGGGAAAAAAAACCAAACACTTTCATGACCAAAAGTTAAATGATATTTTTTTAAATTACTAAATTTTTAAAAAAGAATATTAGCCTGATTATCAATAATACACTCTTTTAATAATATAATTTCTAGCTGTAATATTTTATTTACTAAATTCATGCAACAAAAAAATTTAAGAAGACACTTTCAATAATGACTGACACATCAGCCAGGTTATCATTCCATTGAATCTGTAACCAAACATCAGTGATTGAAATGTTTTCATGTGTCAGAATTTCAACATTTAACAACTATTATTGATCCCAAGGCCAAGCATTGCTCTAGGTGCTAGAAATTATAGTAACGAATAAAACAGACAAAAATCCCTGCCTTCATGGAGCTAACACTAAGGGACACTTGGATTCCAAAAGCCATCTTAATTCAAAAATTAAAATCATATTTTTTTAAAAAAGCAGAGAGTGGGACCAGAGAGAAAGGAAGTATAATGATGCTCGTTTTAAACTTAGTGTAACAGGGGCACCTTCGTGGCTCAGTCGTTAAGCGTCTGCCTTCGACTCAGGTCATGATCCCAGGATTCCGGGATCGAGCCCTGCATCGAGCCCCGCATCGAGCCCTGCATCGAGCCCCGCATCAGGCTCCCTGCTCAGCGGGAAGCCTGCTTCCCCCTCTCCCACTCCCCCTGCTTGTGTTCCCTCTCTCGCTTTGTCTCCCTCTGTCAAATAAATAAATAAAATCTTTTAAATAAATAAATAAACAAACAAACTTCATGTAACAAATGGAAGTGCCTGTAGTTCATCATGTTCCCTAAACCCCTCCCAGAAAGAAAATGCCCTGGGGCGCCTGGGTGGCTCAGTCGTTGAGTGTCTGCCTTCTCAGGTCATGGGATCAAGCCCCGCATCGGGCTCCCTGCTCCGCGGGGGGCCTGCTTCTTCCTCTCACACTCCCCTTGCTTGTGTTCCCTCTCTCCCTGCCTCTCTCTCTCTGTCAAATAAGTAAATAAAATCTTTAAAAAAAAAAAAAAAAAGAAAAAAAATGCCCCTGATGCGGAAACTCCAGGGATTTACCAGCCAGCAAATAAGGGCAAACTGTATGTCAAACTTACAGTCAATCAGAATCTAATATCTTGTGTTTTAAATATTACAAATACATAATTAATATAGTTTTTTGGAGACTCTTCCATAAACCACTAGATCCCAGTTTTGCACAGTGAAGCATGAATTTTTTAAAATATATCCTAGAGGATTGCAAAGGTTCTCAATCCTTAAAATACCTAAATACCTAAATATATTCCCCAAATGTCAATTTTGGTGCTATGATTTGGCCAAAAGCATACTGTCCTATAAAATACTATCAGCACAGATGAAAGATAACCCAAGTAAGTTCAATTTATTTGATAATGACATGTTATTTGTGATTGTATGCACTGAAATTTTCTCTTTATGTTCACACTCTACTAAAGGGAGAAGTTTTTATAGGTTAAAGTCAATGTTCTTAGAATGTCCAAGGGATTAAACAATAGATAGAATGTTCACATGACATGACATATTCTCTCTCTCTGTCACGTACATATTCACACATCATCGTTTATAAACTGAAATGCAAAAACCTATTGATTCCTTAAAAAGCAGTTATGCTAGAGAACCAATGCTTCCTTGAATAATGTTCAAAATCCTTTTGAAATTCCTCCCCCTCTCCTTTGTAATTGCCTACAGAGTCTACTTATGGGCAAATAAGTAAGTAGAATCTGGTGAATTTTTTTTTTAACACATGAGATTTTTTTAAACAATGATTGTCATTTGTCCAGTTCATTTATAAAACATGACTCCTGACTATTTCCAAATATCAACTCAGTCTTCAAAGAATGAAGATTTTATACCATCATGATACTCAGGACAATTAACACAGGTTCTTCCACAGAAGAAATGCAAAAATATTCGGGTAACACAGTCACTGTCACATCTTATTTGTTTAGACATTTAATCATTCAGCATTTACTAAGTGCCCATTGTGCCAGATACTGAAGAATATTTTATGTGGCTAACCCTCATTCAGATGCAGAAGTTCTGGTGTGCTTGTTAAAAAAGAAAAGGAAAAATCACTTTACTTTATAATCACACCTCATTTATGGCCTGCTAGAATTAGTTAGCCAAATGGCTGCTGATAAGCTCGAACGGTTTTAACACTGGGTTACTGGGGTCAAAGGTTAAGTCCCCATGTTGGAGAATTAAATCAGCTCTGTTCTGAAGCCAGACCATATGCTTAGCTCCAGGCAGCCACTCTGTTAATGTCTGCAAGTGACCACAAACTGGGCAAGAGGGCAGGAACAGATACACAAAATCTACCATCCACATAAAATAACTACTTGGAGCACTAGATTTAATAGCCAAGTACACTAGCATTCTTTCCTCTGTAGCATCTCTTTCTCTTTCATATATAGAAAAATTGCAGGTAATATGAGTTACAATCGTACACACCTCAAAATGATGATCAATCAACTCAAAATATTCTTGAAGGGGCATAGATCCAGAAAAAGAACAGGCAAAATCTTTGATTCCCTGTTTTTCAAAATATTCTTGAAGGCGAATAATAAGTTCATTTGTTATGAGCCAAAGATCTTCGAACTGTTCACTCTGAATGCGATACCGTTCTAAGAGAGAAAAAATAATTAAGGAAAAACGCTTATTAACACATAATTACTAGCTGAAACTACGTGAATTATCACTAACTCTCTGACATAAATACCCAAACAAAAAAGACGTTTTTTCTTTTTTTGTAATACAAATATGATTTCTACTGCTTTACTGCAGTTTTCTACATCAACCACTTAACATTTTCAAATTTAATTCCAAAGGTTTGCCGTCACAGTAGCAGCCTGTAGAGTATGGTCCTTTTCCCTATGTTTCTTATCATAGGTTTCAATATAATAAAAACACCCAAATTTTAGTCCCAGGAAGGAAGGAAGGAAGGAAGGAAGGAAGGAAGGAAGAAAAAGAAAAGGGGGGAAGCAAGCAAGCTAGCTTTGTTTACAAGGTAAGAAAAAAGCCATTGCAAAAGTATAATCTGGTATTCATTAATCTGTTTCAGAATTTTGATATGAAATAAAATTTATTCTGTAGAAAGTCCCCCACATCCTAGACATTGTTGCCAGCTTAAATCCCTATAATCATTATCAAAGTTTTCTATTTTTCTAATAGTTCTTTTATTTATATTTGTAATCAGACTCTTCCCTAAATATAAATCTTGTTTCCCTCCATTAGCTGAAACCTCAGCTCCAAGAAAGTCCAATTCCTATCCATCCCCTACCCTGATTTAATGACAACAATGATGACAGCGGTAACAGTAACTACATTTATGATAAGAGCAACTGTTATTTTTTGAGCACCAGCTATGAAACAAGCACTGTGATTGCAACAACCTCTTTTTAATAAAAAGGAAAACTACACACAGAGAATTTCAGAGACTCATCAAGGGTCATAAAGCAAATTAAATGTCAGAGCTAGAATTCATGATATATTTCTTTTTTCCCTGTCTAAATCCTACCTATTCTTCAAGACCTGGCTCTTTCTCTACCATCCATAGCAGCCTAATATGTACTGGGCACTGTCTTGAGCACTCTGCAGTCACTCTCTGGTTTAAACTTCAATACCCCTATGGGGGAAATATTGTTATCCCCATTTTACAAAAGAGTTTAAATAATCTGTAAGGTCATCTAGCCAGATAGTAACAGTAGGGATTAGAACTCTAGCTATTAATCCAAAGATTAGCTATTAATCTTAACCACATTACAATACTGCATCTCTTTGAATCTATATAGAGACTTAGTATGTCTACAGTTTACTGTGCACTTAACCACATAAAACCATTCATTTTTTAAATTAACTTTTAATTTTAGAACAGTTTTAGATTTACAGAAAAATTAAGAAGATTATACAGAGTTCCCACATACCCTTCACCCAGTTTCCCCAATTATTATTATCTTACATTATTATGGCTCATTTAATGAATGCACACAGATACACTATCATTAACTAAAGTTAATGGATTACAAAAGTTAGGTGGATTACACTGATTGGTTTTCAGGCACTGAATCAGCATTGCATACCTGGAATAAATTCCATTTGGTCAGGGTATGTACTTTTTCTTATTCCTATTTAACTTTCCAGATGATTATATTCAGTTTCTCCAAGAGATTATAGACTTTTTGAGATTTAGAACCAATTCCTCTATTCTATGTAATTTACAAGTTATTGAGCATCTATTATGTACAATTTCATAAAGAAAGAAAAGTTGGGAGTACAAAGATGAACTCAGTCTCCTTGCCTAAGGTGTCTAAGGTCTTGCTAAGGTAGCATGACATGTGGACATGTGAAACATTTATTATATTCCCCATGGTACCTTGACAAATTCTATAAATATATGTCATCTTTAAATTGGTTATTAGGACTTCAATTTGTCATCCTCCATCAGAATTCAAAAATATATCTCCTCTCATTCTCCTAGTCATCTCTCTTTCAATTACAAAAGGAATAAAATATACTGGGTATGCCTTCCATAGTGTATGGCAAACACCCTGATGTTCTCTGCTATCATATCATTTCCCCTGGAGTGTCCCCCAGCCCTCCCCTCACTCTAGTCTTATTCTGGATTCTAATTTCTACCCACAGTGCTGATCAGATGATTTCCTCATTTCTCCCCATCAAAGAGAATAGGGCTAAGGTCAGATATAACAGCTTTTACCTTTCTTTACAAATGTCACTGGATGGTTAACGCTCTAAGAACAGAAAGAGCAAAACAGTGGTGGGGTAGGAGCAAAGAGGTAAAAAAAAAAAAAATGATGACGACAAAATACAGTATTAGAATTCTGTAAATTTCGGGTCCTATCGAAGCTAAACTTGGGACCCAACCTATTAATCCCATACTGGTATTTAGTCACTCTTTCACTCATTTCCATAACTCAGTGCAAGATACTGGGGATAAAACCATGAATAAATCAAGAGCCTCTGCCCTCAAGGCGTTCACCGCAGACCTGGAAAGATGGAGTGATGGGGGAAGAATAAACACTGTTTCTGCCATCACTGATTCAGGGATACTCCATGAAGGTTGACGTTGCCACAAAAGTGCCAGGACTTCCCCACAAGGGATACATTCCTATTTTTAAGTAAAATGTGATGGTCTATCCCATAGCAGAAGAGTCAGACAACAGCAAGGGAGCTGCAAAGGGCGGAAGGCACAATAAGTATTGTGTAATAATTACAGATATTCATAGAGTTAGCTGCCTCAGGAGGTAGGGAACAACCTCACTACCTATGGAAGCATTTAAGGCTCCGAGGTCCTTGGCATTTGGTGCTTTCTTGAAAATCTCCTTGGGAACTGTAGAACTCAATAGGCAAGAAAGACAGGTCATCTCATGTACAAATCTGTCTGTCACTCCATCTGTCCTGGGACAGGTATTTGGTGCCAGCTCAGTACTGCCTCCAGGTCCTGGCTATTGGTTCCTCCCACGCAGATGTTTGACTTCTGGCTCAGCACTGGCTCTAGGACCTTGTCTTTTTATGTGTCTGTCCATTTTGGGGCAGCTATTTGCCCAGCCCCCACCCCCAGGCCCAGGTAATACCCTAGGCCTCCAAGGAGAAGATGCTAAGCTGGGCCAGCTTCATCTCCTTTTGCAGCTTTGTGATCTCCCAAAACATTGGCTTCATATTCTTATGCAACAGGTCTTGCTGGATGTAGTAGATGAAAGTGACAAAATTGTACACTAAGTGATCCAAGCTAGAGAGAATGGTGAGGTGTAGTTGTGGCTCTCAAAGTGACAGAGCCAGATGTGGTACTGGCAGGTGTGGACACATACATTGGGGCTGCCACACTTAACTGTGTCCACTCATACTGCGACAGCATCTACAAAGCCATGGGCTAGGTGGTGAGCATTCGTTGTCCTCCAGACTGGCCTACAACAGCACCAAGAAATCCTGCATTATAAAGTCCAGGCAAGGGCCCACATTCCCTGAGTACACCCTTCCAAGGAAGGAACAGGGGGGCTTGTCCATGATATGCAATTCCCTCCAGGCTTAGAATTCAGCAAAAAGGGCCATATCCATCTCCTTGTCCTCCTCATCCATGGCAACGGTATGTCCCGTAGAGGGGCTCACGACTGGGCAGAGGGAGCTGCTAGTGTTTCTGGCCCTTGTGGGGCCCAGTCTTAGCAGGGTTCAGCAGCTGCAAGTGGGGCTCATGGTTGGGAGAGGCTGGATGTGGATGTGATGACTGCTATCTTCAAGGCTGTCACCTCCACGTGCAGCCTGTCAATTCTACCCACCACTTCCTTCAGCAGCTTTTCTGATGCCAACTATTTCATGAGAGCTTCTCATATCATCTTGTGAACTTCCTCAGAAAGTCTGGACATCAGCAACACCTCTAGGTCCTGCTCCAGTGGTTCCTACACCTCCCACAGTTGCTCATGGTCCTCATCTTTCAGCTTCAGCTCCTATGGGCTATATGAGCTCCTCCATCAGGAGCTCAGAGCTCTGCCTTTCTTGCAAATCTCCATGGAGATCCTGTAGGAATACCTGTCAATAATATTAGAGAAGAGCTCCCTCCCAGGTTCCTAATACTGAGCAAGTTCCTTTACCACTCCCAGATCCAGAGATTCTGAAAGTGAAAGACACAGTGCCTTAATAATGCTCATTTTAATAAAATTCTTAAAATGCTGCCTGCCACATAGTGAGTACTCAATAAATGTTACCTACTATCATCATTGTCACCATTATTTCCTCAAGAGTGTGTATCCCCAGTGATAAATTCTGATAAATTTTCACACTAACTTTGGTGGACAGACTTGCCTGGTCATACCTGAATATGCCATGTTTCCAGATTTTCTTGCCAGTATCTACATGGGCAATTTAACAGAAACTGGTATGATAATCTTGCTACAGTGCAGCATAAAAACTGCTCACTCAGGTCATGATCCTGGAGTCCCTGGATCGAGTCCTGCATCGGGCTCCCTGCTCGGCGGGGAGTCTGCTTCTCCCTCTGACCCTCCCCCCTCTCATGTACTGGCTCTCTCTCATTCTCTCTCTCTCAAATAAATAAATAAAATCTTAAAAAAAAAAAAAAAAAAAAAACTGCTCACTCAGCTTCAGCCATATTAGCTTCCTCAGTATCCCTGAAAGCACATTCCTGCCTCAGGGCTTCAGGGCAGTGATTCCATCATAAACCCCATTTGAGCCACATAGAACCTAATTAATCCAGTAACTTCCAAAGAGCAGATATGAAAAAAAAGTGGCTTTAAGAAAATGTATTTTCCTTGGCATAGAATTTGCCATTTTAGATAAAGCCATAAATTTTTTACATAAACATTACAGTGCTAATATTTCAAAGGAAATCTCATTTATTCTGGCTCTAGAAGGATTTTGAATAAGTTTCCATAAGCAGGTAGAAAAACGTGGGATGTAGTCTAAATACACCTAAAGAATAAAATTTCTTGTCTATAAAATGAAATAAAACTACAGAAAGAAAGTTATTCCATTCAACTATAATTTTCCAATATAAATGTGTCACAATTTACATATCTGAAAAGAGATGTACAAAAACAACTGGTATTATTGTGACACATCTAAAAGAATTACAGATGTAAAACAATGTGTGCCCAAC